ATTCTTGTCCTTGATATGCCTAGAGACAGCACCATTCAGTCATGTTCAAAGACAAAACTGAGGCCAGGAAGATGCATGTGGTATGATGCTGCCCACTGCATGCTGTGTTCTTGATACCTTCACCACAAAGCACAGTAGATTGCAGGTGACCACCTGAACTCATAGCAGAGGACAATCACGTACACAAGCAATCCTAGTGCCACATTGTGCCATTTATTCATTTGTGGGGTAATCAGTGTTACCCCAGGATCTGGGGTAATTGGTGAAAAGCAAAACTCTGCTCAGGTAGAAAAAAATCCACAGGAAAATTCTGGGACTAGTTGGTTTCACTTTGGTTAGTTTCTTTTTCAAAATTATGTACAATAGTTTAGAATATCAGCGGGCAAAGCAAACATTAAACAGGTAATTTTATTCCTTTTATGACAAAGAGAAATCATCCAAGTAATACCTGGTGCAAGAAACCCCACAAAAATCACATCAATTCTTGTAGATATTCAGATTTTTAACATCATTTCTGTCTGCCTGTAACTCATAACACCACACATGCATGCACATGCACACAAATCAATTAAAAAAAGAGGAAAGAAAATGTAAACCAAATTTATCTTGCAAACCCAAAGAAAACCTGTTTTCAGGAGTGACATTTAAACCTCCAGGTTTCTAGCTAAAGTCATCTAATGATTTTTTCAAATAGTGAAAACCATGCAATTAAGCATCAAAATTAATCAACAATGTTCAAGACACTGGGAAAGACCTTGCAAAGATAAATCATTTGAAAAAGTTTTACTCTACCGATGTGAACACAGACACCAGAAAAGCAGATGTGTTAGAAAAATATCACTGAAAATTATGTTAATTGATTAGTGTTCTACATGAATGATTCACAATAGCAGGAAGGTAAGACTTTTCCATCTGCATTTTCAGAACAAAAAGGATTCTACTACAGGGAAGACCAAGACTCAGGGCACTGGCAGTCTGGCCTTTATTTCTGCGTTTGCCTCTGACTTTGTTGACCTCGGACAAATGACTTCACCCTTCTTGCCTTTGTTTTTCTTCCCACCTTCTGCTTCTGTTGTCTCTCGTAGTCTTTGCCTTTGAGGCTTGGACTTAATTTCTGATGCATTTCTATGAAGCCAAATGGAATAGGCACTGACTGGTTCAAACTAATGAGCAATACTTTAATACTACTACAAAAACATGAGGATAACCTCCAGGTTGCTTCAAGCTGCTGTAGCTCCCAGGGAAGCAAGTCTGACCAATGTAAAGACCCCAGCAAAAAGATCTTCTCTGGCATCTTGTAAATTTTGCAGCCTGTTGGGACTTGGATACAGAACTGGTGGCATGAAGCCATCATTGTTCCTCTTCTGGGCATCTTTGCAGCCTTGCAATTACAATAGTGTTGTGCTTTGAACAGTTAAGGAAAACGCTGTCAATGTTTAGTCATGAAACTTGAAAGACAAACCAGCAACATTTTCCCCACACAGACAAGCAAACCCGAAAGAGCAGGAACAAGCAAACCTGAGAAGTCTAGGAACATCCCACTGTTTGGAATGAAAAAATATATCATGTGAAATAATTAGATTTGGATGATGCAATCTGTGAGTTCACCACATTGAAGAGCTTGTTGAAGCCACAGCAGAGCTATGAATAGAGCATTTGCAGGACAACGCTTGTATGCACAGAGGTGTGGATGCCAGAACCGTAAATCCTGTCAAGCAGAACCGTACCATGGATATGGGTCAGGATGTAAACAACTCTGTGGACTATACATTGCTGCAGGAATTACTTCTTCTCAGAAACAATGTGTTCTCCTGAAGATTAAAAAAAAAAAAAATGTAGAGAAGGACATGATGTAAATACCCAGACAACAGTGTACCAGTGACCTCCCTCCCTCAGCAAAAGGGATACAGGAGCAAGAGTCCATACACTAAATTTATCAGTTTTCCTTTGAAAAATTGTGTCTTGTGTGCTCACGTGAACTTTGCGAGGTTTCTCTGTCAGCGGACAAGACTACTGTGGACTTAAAAGTAACACAAGGTGCTGTTAACTGGACTTTACTCCTCAAAGGGCGTCAGAAAACTGACACTGCTGGGACTTGGCTAAGCGCAGGGATCTGGTAGAGCCAGATCTGGTAGTGAGACCCTGGGGAAGGAATGAGAGGAAACTGCTGACTTGCAATAACAGCAATGTCTAAAGACATTCAGGGCTTTCTGTGATGCTCTGTCACTGAATACCCTGATGCTACCTTTGATGAGCAGCGTCACAGAGCGACTTGATGTACATGGGCACTTTTCCCTCCGTTGCTACTTCTCTAGGTGCTAGGAGGAGTGGAAAGCACGATGCAAGTCTGACAGGATGGGTCTTTCACATTTAGATCAATACGTGTGGACACATACTTAACCACATTTAAGTAGCTGATTTAACCCTGCTCTCAGCATATTTTAAGTGCTGGCCCTTGCTCCACAAACAGATTGCCCCGGATTGAGTTACTGTGCTGAGATTCTGAACAGAAAGCATGACAGCTCGTCAGTCTTCAGGACTCTTGCGACAGACTTATAAGATTACGCAAGGACGAAGACGCACTGGAAAATACAACTGTGAAATTTCCACCCCCTAACCGACTGCACCGTAGCCTTTCCAAGAGAAACTGTGTTTTCAGATTATCTGTTTCCTTCTATCCTTCCCATGGTTTTGTGCTTGGGCATCAGCATTGTTTTTCAGCTAGGTACAGACACTGCAAATAATACCTTTCTGCCTTGCTGTACTCTTTCTCCTCTCCCTCAGCTTGATACGTGAAGATGTATGCAGCACGCTGTCCTTTTCACTTATGCGATCCTGGGCTGTGCTCGTTTCATTACACAAAAGACTTTCTCCAGTAATATCACCAAATGCCTGAAAAGCAGAACAGACAAACCCAACACATGATTATGGCAGCGTTCAGTGAAATATCAGAGAGAACATAGATGACTTTGATTACATTTCCCCACCCCTCTCCTCTTACTTTCAAAATACTGTAGCTTAGAAGCTTTCCTGTTTGTGAAATTTTATTCTGTCATACTAATAACCCAGCTTTACAGCAGCTTACAATTTAGCTTTCATGGTTCAGTTCCACTCCTGGGCTTATAACAATTTTTCTAACAGTTCTGCCAAAATATTATAAAGTAAAAGTTACTGTAAATGTATTCACTAATACAGATAGAGCAGTGAGATTAGCAATTTAAACACATGTGAAAAGTGAATTTGCCTAATTTTTCTCACTCTAAATGCTTTAGTAAAACAGTGGAATGGGGATTTTTACGCCCGTTGCTTTTCATAATTTCTTCTTATGATGTTCTTGACACATGGAGAAGATTTGAGTGAATAAAGAATAAACCTTAAAAGAAGAAAATCATGGCCATGAGGAAACTGGTTATAAATCCAAGACACCACATCAGATCCAGCTCAGTTCATTAGCAGTTACCAGATCGCATCGCATGTCAGATCCTCAGCTTGTGTCATGTGGGTGGCATTTTGCACAAGAATGTCCTGGCTCTGTTTTTTTTTTTCACTTTCTGGAGTGCCCATATGACAGAATTTTTGCTCAGATGAATGTGAGCAGAAATCAAATTTCGTATGCTGAGAAGGACCAGAGTCTCAGCTCTGTCTAGTTGCTGTTACTCAAATGCTACCACAAAAAAAGCAGATTCCTCCACTAATACCATGATGTTTTAATGAATTTCACTATTCTCAACCTGGTTTAGCACAGCGGCAATAAATTATACAAACAGCGGTTAACGCATGGGAATAATCTCTAATTTCTATTGTGGTTTTGTGTACCTTTATAATCTGTCTGATGAAGCATCTTAAAGTCTTTGTTGTGCTTCTGGGTTTGATACCCTAGGCAGCTGGGAAGCACTGTTACCTCTGGAACAGGGGAATACAGGCATTGTAGGAGGTGGTCCCCAACTCACATAAAAAAACTGTAACTGAATATTCAAGTGGTCTTGTACATCCTATATCCTAAGCAAGTTTCTTTACACCAGGCTATTCTTTCTTCTTAGCGAGATACCACTTACACAGAACACCTACTACTTTTTTATTATTCTTTTACACTAAAAGATGGTATCTTTTAATGATTCTATAGTCCAGTTTTAGATTGTCCTAAACTATTTCTCGCATGACATAAACAATCTTCAGGGCAGGTCAGAGACACAACGTCATGGCAGGGGTTCACAACAACACGTGAAACATTCATAGTCAAGAACACAGAAGTTAAAAAGGGGACCTATAGCGTGACTGAGGTAACAGGAACAGCAGTATTTCTCCTAATGCAGTATTCTAAGGAAAAAATGTGGAAACATCATCAGGGTATACCTGGAGATTTTATCCGTAAATTTCCCAGGAGTTGGAACACTATTTTTATAGAATGATAGAATTGTTTAGGTTGGAAGACTTTCAAAATCATTATGTCCGACCACTAACCTAGCAATGCCAAGTCCACTGCTAAACCATGTCCCTAAGCACTACATCTGCGTGTCTTCTTGCCTTGAGTAGCCTGATCTAGTTGAGAGGTATCTCTGCCCATGACAGGGAGGTTGGATTAGATGATCTCTAAGGTCCCTTCCAACTTGGGCCATTCTATGATTCTAGGTTCTCCAGGGATGGCGACTCAAACACTTCCCTGGGTAGCCTGCTCCAATGCTTGACAGCCGTTTTGGTGAAGAAATTTCTCCTAATATCTAACCTAAATCTCCCCTTGCACACATTGAGGCCATTTCTTCTTGTCCTATCACTTGTTACATGAGAGAAGAGACCAGCCCTCACCTCACTACAACCTCCTTTCAGGTAGTTGTAGAGAGCGATAAAGTCTCCCCTCAGCCTCCTTTTCTCTGAGTTAAACAACCCAGGTTCCTTCAGCTGCTTCTCATAAGACTTGTTTCTACGTAAAAAAAAAAAAGAAAAAAAAAATAAAAAAGATACAGGGGATACTTAGAATTCACTGGAAAAGCCTTTCCATTGGTGCTGGTTAACGCATAACAAAATCTCTTTTAAATCTGACAGTTCACATACCCAGAATGACTGACTGAAGCAACGGAAAACCTTTTCTACACTTAAGGTGCGGTTATTTACTTGTGTACTTTAAACTGAAGCCTCTATGGATATGTCCGATATTTAGACTTGATCAGATGTTGTTCAGAGTTCTGTTCTTAAATTAAAGTCCAAGCTGTTGTTTCTGAGAGCGACTTAATAACAGTAACCTTACGGTTAATCAACCATGTAGTAAAGTTCACTGTGCACTTACTGCTGTGTAATTATAAAGGGAACAAAAATATAATTGATGCATTTTGTCAATCTGTGTAGCTGCAAGGTACTTTTTCAAAGGTTATTTTTTTTTTATTCGGATAAAATAAGTTAATGCTGTTTTGGCAATTATCCTTTGACTTCAGAGATTTTACTGCTGATTCAGGTAAACCTATGTGATGGATGAATAAATATTATAAGCATTTAGGAGTACAAAATACCTTCTGCAGCAATCAGTGGCTCAACCCTAGCAGCATAAAGTCATTCAGAGAATCACTGGAAACACAGCAAATCTGGGCATTTAAAGTGGGTTGGAACCAAAAGACAAGTGTTTCAATACAAAATAGCACTTTTAAACTAACCCTTAGTTATCAGCACCAATGTCTGTTATACAGCACGACTACAGTGATATGACAATATTTCTCCCATGGGCATTGGCTCAGACTAAATGGATGAGCCTGAACTCGCTCCCATCCCTCCTGTGAACATCCGAAGGAAACAGCTCTAACTCTTCAGGCCCTCAATGGAAAAATAAGGGTAAATATCCATACCTACAAAATATTTGTGTATGTGTTGGCTAGGTATGTAACCCTTGCTCTTCACATCACGTTCTCTGCCAGCGGTAAAAGAAGCCAGCATGATTTAAAATTGCATGTTCACATACAGAACAAGGCTATAATGCCACAATGTAAGTATTTCAGTTATTTTCTTGTTATCTAAAAGCCTGTGTATCCTGCTGAGAGCAAGTGATGGACCTGTCTCAGCACTTTCCTGGTTCTGCTATCAGACCACAGCCTCCACCATAGATAAGCAGGACATGCTGTCTTGATGGACATACATCTTTTCCCTGTGACTCTGTGAGTTTCTGTGGCAGAGAGTATGCTGAACCCGGGATCTGGAGAAAAATAGAGGGGGGAGAAGTGGCCACATGCTGCAAGGCAGCCTCCTGCATTTCCATCCTGTTGCACGAGCAGCATAGCCTCAATTATAGCTGATCATAGATAATAATTAATAGACACAGTTTCCGTTTAAGACTATACCTCAATCTACTGAAAGAAAGAAAAAAAAAGTAAGGATTTAGCCTTATACTTGAAAGGGTAAAGCATCCTCCTCATCTGCAGCAAACAGGTTGGCTTAGCCATCGCAAGGGCAAGAAGCAACAGATTGGGTCCATTTCAGGACAGGAATCACATCTCACATGCAAAATAAGCTGGATCATTTTAAGAGAAAAGCATAGAAATGCAAAATTTGTCGAGGAAAAGTCTTTTTCTCATGTCTTCAATGGGGCAGGAAGAGCTACCTGGACAACTCTTATTTCATAAACTGCTTATCTTTACTTGAATGATAGCATTAAAAGAGAAATATATACCGGTAAAAATAAATTAAACCAGTCTGGTTTACTTCATATTTGCAGAGGAACTAGCAATACTGCCATGACCCTCAACAAAAAAGCTGTAGGGTTGCAGGCTGTGCTGTTTTCATTACCTCTGTCCATGGAAGTATCCTTTAGCTGACTTTTATCATGTATGGCTCCCAACTGAATCTCAGTGCGTGTTGAAAGGGATCATACTTCCGCCAAATGCAGTTGCAAAATACCACTTGTCTTCGACGGGACAAGATTATGTCTCAGAATTAGGCAGGTAACACGTGATGAAGCCTATTCATCCCAGGAGTAGGTACACATACACATGCATTAACATGGGTGGAATCACTTTTTTGCTGTTAATCCCTACTTTTACAGGCATCTCCAGCAAACCCTCACTGTAAACTTGACCACGTTTGTGGACGACCTGGCACAATGCTACTGAAGCCAGGTAATGTGTGCCAATTTACACTGAATAATTAGTTACCTTTGCCCAGCCTCTCCCGAGCCTAGAAGTCCTCCTCCACTCCCCTCAGCTGATCCAGTTTATGGTTTGGAAGGGTGAGAGCTTTTCTGCTCTCTCTGCAGGGTCTGGTGAGATGAGGAGGAGGCCGTTGGGTAATGTACCAACCTCAGTCACTGAGCTGGAGCAGTCCTCCCTCTTTCTCTTCTCCATAAATCTCTAGTGACCACTGCACCTTTTGCAGTAAAGTTGGCCAATTTATTCCCTTAATGAAGTCAGAGCCAGAAAAAGCTGCACTCAAAATGTGCATAAGCTGCACTGGAGTCAACCGTATGGCTTATGCTTGCACAGGAAAAAAAATCGGGCGCAATATTCCTAGTAACATTGAGTATATAAAAAGAAATTGTGGAATTAAGAATAAAACATGAGGCAATTTGTTGATTTGCCCAGAGAATATATGGGAGCGACAAATGTTTTGATTACTCTAAGGCTGTTTTTTAGTGTCATTATCAGATCCAAGAACTGTATATAAAAACATGCAGTCCTTCACATGCTAAAAGTATAGTTTGCTCAAACAATTGTAAAATATTCAGTATTCTTAAGATTAAATATCTGAATATTGCTTCTGAAGGAACAGCTGTCAGCTTAAATCTAAAGTCTAGTTTGTTTACTGGCTGTATTTTATATCTGTTAGAAAATGACACCAAATGGCAATAAAATTGTTGTAAGTATTCTACTGGGGAATATAAATGCCCTTTGGTTACAGTGTACATATCTTTATACATAATTCCAGTATATTTTCCCTAGAATTATGTTAAATATGTAAAAAGCCTTTTCTCATAAAGGTAAAAACACTAGATGTTTCCAAGCTGTAATTTAGCATTAGTGTCAAGATTGCTTCAGAAAATAAGCTACGGTTACTGTTTCATTCTTTTTAAGTGTCACTCAGCATACTATATCTGATCTTGTATTCAAAATAAACTTATATGATTTTATTCACTTTTCCAGAAGTGCAAGAGAGTTTAGGCATAATTTATAGCATATGGATTGATGTAAATAGCTTAAACTAAGTAATTGGTTAGTCACCTGTGCTGTCTTATCCTATTACTACTAAGTACTTTTCAAGTAATTAGGGAAAACAGATCTCTTTTATCCAGTAAGTTTAAATTGGATGAATTCTTGACATTTGTGTAGGTTTATTTAATAGATAAAATCATACTATACCAAAACTTTCTCTACAATGATGAGGTTTACTAGGCCTATAATAAGAAACTGATTTTTTGCTGAGTTAAAATGACTTATCTTTGCCCTTCTAATAAGAAATCAACTCCAGTCAGCAAAAGTCAAGATAAGAATCATCGAGTTGGTGTTATCACCATGTAGACAGCAAACACATAGCACTATCATTAACTTTTCTGTCCATGGGTTTCAAACACATTTAAAATGTTAAAACCCAATAATTTCCTGTATATTACAATAATGTAAGATTAATGAATACGGAAAAGCATGAAAAGTGATTTATTTTGGGAAGGTCATTCCTTGGTTAGGCAACACTTAAATTGAATACTATAAAGGAGAAATATATTACAGGTAAAAAGGAAAATGGGTTTTACTGCATGTGAATTCTTTGAGTTTTACAATGCTTATGATAAAAGGACTGCACTTACAAGTTTAACCTCTATAATTTTTACACTGCACATTTTTTTAAAAAAATCGTTTTATTTAACATTTCTAGGACAATTTATACATGCCACCTTGTACTTAATGTTCTTTTCAAAACAGTTTTTTTTGCCTCATGCTTATGAAACCTGTAAAACTGCTTTTCATACCAGGCATGAAATTTCTTTTTATACCAGAAAAGTTGGACCTTTAATGGGAATACCATACTTAAAGAAATAAGTATTTTAAAGAAGTTATTGTACAGAGAGACATTCCTGGCTAGTGTACTCCTACACACAGCACTTACAAACTGGCCTTACTCACTATAAAAAAAAAAAAAAGAAAGTATTATTAAAGTGAGTGTTTAGGTTCCTTGGCTTAAATGAAGTTCACACTTAGGTGCTTTGCTGAACTACAACTACAAGAAAAATCTTGCTTACACTGAAGCAAGAGTAGGATGAGGTTGTGAATATAACATACATCCGTTAGGAGCATCCAAGGCCTTTAAATCAAAATTCCTCTTATGCCTGTCAAATAATATCTGTAGATACAGAAACATATACGAGGTTGAAGTCACCAGGAGCTGAACACATGAATTTGAGGAAGGATTTGACCCAGCAATAGAAACACTGCTCTCATGTCAGCATGTTTGATGAGAGATACATCGCCATCCCAGTGACCCAGAGCTCCCAAGCCTGCACATACACCTTGGTTAGTTGAGTGCTCAGAATCTGCTGCTCATTCTGGTGGTACTTTCTGAACAACGTCTATATTTGAACGTGTTTTGCAAAGTTATCATTATTTCTATGTTGTTTTCTGCCCAATTGCTCATTTCCTCCTGTTACATATCTTACTATTGAAAAACACCTACCGATGCCAGCAACCATGATGCTGTAATGACACAAAGCATTACACATCCGGTGGAGAGATCTTAGTCCCCAAATGCTTGAAGTAGGAATGGGTGTTATGGCTCTTTCAGGTATGATTCCTGAAAGTCAGGGAAATTAAAAAGTCAAAGCCTTTTCATTTTGCTGTTTTCAGCATTATAGAATCATAGAATTGCTGAGGCTGGAAAAGGCCTCTGAGATCATCAAGTCCAGCCTATGTCCCAATACCACCACATCTGCTAGAGTTTCTTAATAAAAGTGAAGAAACAAACAAAAAGTTACACTGAAATAATTAACATTTTCACCCTTGGTAAGTTACCATAATTAAAAGCTTTACTGTTTTGCAGGAAGGAGGTGTGTGCAACCGCCCACTTCCTTGATGCTGTTGAATTACTCCTTGTATTCTGCAGTTGTACAATAGCACTAGTCCACCCAAAAGAGAGGAAAAGAAAAAAAAGTGAAAATCGGTTGTTTTTTTGCTCTATGGGCTCTGCACAACAGATAGACGTATATATAAAAGTTGGACACGTTACAATTGCCACAGACTTCTCCTATTCCTACAGTCCATGTTCCTACAGTCCCAAGACAGCATTTCATACAAATATCTTATCTCTAGTGTGGAGTAAAAGCCTTACTGATCATGAAGGAAGAGGAAAGGGAGCTGTGGTTCCAATAACAGGGAGAGAAGAGGTGGCAAACTTTGGCTTCCCCACTGCTGGTAGGGAGAGTTGGGGAATGAAAAGCAGAAGGTGAGCCTGTCTTGTCTCTTCTGGTATATTGTTGTACCCATTCTGACAGAAAATGGAAAAGATTATGGAATTAGATTATATAGGTAACTTCTGGAAGAGAGGAATCTTATTTACACCAAAGGGTGAGCCAAGCAAATACATGGAAACTGACACCCAGAAAAATGAGACTGGAGAATAAGAGGAGAACTCTGACCAAATGGACATCAACGATCCAGAAAAACCTTCCCTTGAATCACTGGGGACAAAATCACCAGACTAGGCCTAGGTAGACTAAACTACCTGAATCTTTTAAAAGTTTTAAAATTCACTATTTTACAGAATATTACTAATTTGGAACTGAAGTAGAAAGGCTTGACCTATAAAATACACAAATGTATAATTACATCTATTATCTGCTAAATGTAACATCTGCATATAAGTCTTACTGCAATTATTAGTTAAGCACATTTCTTACATGTAATTGCATTTAGGTTGACAAGTAAAAATACTGTAAAGCACGCACTGAACTCCTAAATTAGACATTCAGTTTGCAAGATCAGGACACAAGCTCGACCATGAATATTTTAGGGGTAGACTCTGTTATGATTTTTTGTGGGAGACTTGTGCAGAAGTGGTTTGAGCCATCCGGACCATGCAGTGCTCACTTTGAGGATGCTGATCAGCATCAGTTCACAAGCCTGAAGCTTCTCGGAAGCTCACCTGGGGAAGACAAAATTAGACTATATGGGGATGCATTTCTCCTCTTTCAAAAATACAGAAGGTATCAACAAACTGAATCAGTGCACTGGGTTAGGATTTCCTCAAGTGTTTGAAGAATCTCCTTCCACAGCCTTGTGGAAGCTGAACAAAAACTCATGACCAAAAAGCTGAGAAGAACTTAATCGGGAAAAAAACATTCTGCTTGTAACAGGCAAAAGGTAGGAATGGGCCTGTGTTGTTGACCTCAAACAGGGAAAAGTTGTTCTAGCTAAAATCTAGCCAATAATTTGTATGAGGAGGTTCTTTAACAGACTTAGGCATGGACCTGGATTTGCCAGTTTCTTTGTTTCAATAATTACTCGTCCACATGCCTTCTCTTGTTTTCTTTGGCCAGCTCTAAAACTCTGGTGTCTTCATTCTGGTGAATCACAAGTTCCTGGGGCAGGAAATTGTGTTTGGATTCCTTGAGGACAGTTTCCTTTAAATTAAATTTTCTTTAAAAAGCCAAGTAGGGCAAAGTCTTTTAATGAAGAAAACAGCCTTGAAACATTAATCAAAGAAGCAAAAGCAACATTTGCCTCATGCTGGAAAGATGTACTTGAACCCTCACCTTAGAAGTAAGCAGCTGAAATCTTTGTACTTCAGCATCCTTTGTGCCAGTTTTCTATGGTAAATAGACCTCCGTGATGATGATCCTACTTCTTATCTGGATAGGTAAAGTAATATTCTTTCACTTTACTTTCTCTTAGATGCCAGTTTTTTTCTTAAAGTTCTCTCAACACAAGACCAAAGGCAACAAGGAAATGTACTTCTTTTAATCACTTAGAATAAAAATGACAGTGCAATGAACAAAATGCAGCCTATGAAACAAGTAATGAGGGATACTTCTTTTTAATACCACCCTATATTTTATTTTAGCGCACAAAATTATTTCAGCGATGTCCAGTTATGACAGGACAAGGGGCAATGGGTAAAGCTGAAACATAGGAGGTTCCACAAAAACATTAGGAAAAATTTTTTACCTGTGAGGGTGACAGAGCCCTGGCACAGGCTGCCCAGGGAGGGTGTGGAGTCTCCTCTGGAGACCTTCAAAACCTGCCTGGACGTGTTCCTGTGTGACCTGCTGTAGGTGATTCTGCTCTGGCAGGGGGGCTGGACTAGATGATCTCTAGAGGTCCCTTCCAATCCCCGACATTCTGTGATTCTGTGACAAGCTTCTAAAAATTTGACAAGCGCCAAGATCCAATCTAAAACTTGCAAGATGACAGCAGGTAGTCTAACCGTGCCTTAGTTGTGTTTATCTGAGGAAGCACTAAGTGAATATCCCTACCTACAGTACTAGCTGTATAGAAAATGTGCACAACTTAGATTGTGTATTTATATATATAATAATTCCTGTACAGAGTCACCTTATGTGGGTCTGAGCAACACATATTTATAAATCATCTCTGTGCGTGTAATTTCAACGTATATCCTATATAATTGCCTTTAAATTGTGCTATAAACAAGACTGAATTGCTACTTAGCACTGCAAATGCACTAACTCACTGATTTTACACTCCTGCTTAGGTCTGAGGTCTTCCTATGGAAGACTTCGGCGTATTTTGTGCAGGGTCAGGCAGGTCTGTTTTCCTATTTTGACACCGACCTGCTTCCGAAGAGCACTCCCTTGCCCTCAGAATCTGTGGGTCAAGAGTCTGCTTCGACCTACCTCGACGATAGCCCCATCCGGTAGCCTGAGGAAGTGCCTGTAGAGCTCCTGGAAGCCGCTGAGGTGGAGGGTGTAGACAGAGACGTGAACCGTGGTGCTACCCCTGGAGGTAGCTGCAGAGTCAGGGGCTTCATCCCGGTGCTGGAGGTCACAGCTGGAGACACCAGGCTCGCTGGCGTGGTCCTTCCAGATGTAATCAGACACTGCCACCTAGTGAGACAGGAGACCCCCCCATGCACACCCACACAGGAGTTCCCCCACCCCCCACCCCTCCACCAAAGGAACATATTTAATTAACTTCGGACGAGAGCTTAACCGGTTTAAAATGATTTTACAATAAATCTGCAAAGCCTGTACCATATGCAGAGCTTGCACGCAGCTCTCTACGACATATTTTTTTATGACATAGATCTAAATAGAGGAGATAGACAAATCCCTCGTGTATATTCTATAAAGTTAATTCTGCACAGATGAAGCTGTAATTGACTCCTGTATTAACCAAAAGTAGGGAGATCAAGCAGGGTAGGTTAAACAATAGAATGGCAATACCGATTAAAAAAAAAAAAAAAGCTTTCTGAGAATTTTGTGGATAAGTATCTGTATTTCTGTCTCTTTGAGAAGCCTCTGCACCCATACCCGTGAGCACTTTGTAGTCTCTGATCTCTGTATAGTATTAAAATAACCTTGTGCTGCTAACTGAATCGTAGATGAGGCTGAGTAAATAAGATGTACTTTAGTGTGTTTTATAAACCTAGTTTATTGACACAGTTACCTAGTTTCCTAGTTTGTTCTAAACACATTTCCTTGGTTAGGTTTTGGATCTCCCCGTGCCAATCAGAATTTCCATTTTATTTTCTTTTGTGTTGAGTTTTTACATGGGCTGAGCAGAATTCAAGACTCCAGAGGGATCGTAACATGCAGTTTGAGCAACCCTTATCCTTAACTAGAACTGATGATGAGAAGCATTATTATTATACTCCCACTGAAGCGCAAGCTTTTTAACCCTTCACTTTTGCAAGACCTTTGTGTCACTCATTTTCTCCCATGAGATGCTACTCCTGTTCACAGTAAGAAGGGATTAGTAATATTGTTACATCCTTACAATACACTGCCATGCTCTTATTACCAAACACTTCTACTTATTGCAGAAGAAATAACTCTTTCATTGGTCTAGCACATGCCTTTTTCTTTCAAGTAAATGTATTGCACAAGCTGAAATGATTGGAACTCACTCATGAAGCTAGCCGTAAAAAACCTCTAATTTAAAATAGATGCATCAAAACCTTCTTGCATAGCTTTCCTGTTTCTTTCTGCTGGAAAGAAGAGCTCAGAATGTTACAAGAGATCCCAAAATCACTAAACACAATTCTTTCCCCCCTCCCCCCAACATGGGACAGATTAGATTTAGCTCAGTTTGCTTGTGTTCCAGTTCACGTTCCCTCAGCTGTTCTTACGCATTACAAGGAATCCCGTAACTAGCACAGCGTGCCAACGCCACGATCCTGACGTGCACGCAGCTATTCTGAGCAACTGCCTTAGGAGAGGATTGGTTTTAGGCGAGTTGAGAAAGCAAGAGCACACGCAGGAAATTATCTCCAACTCTTTTCCAGGAGTGACAGAACAACAGGAAACTTCATTTTAGTGCCAGCTTTCATTTGCATCAGTCCTAAATGATTTTTATACATTTTCAAACAAAGAAAGGTCACCTGAAATTTAAGGTAAAACATGCACAGTCTGATTTTCCCACACCAAAGTCTCTGCAGTTAAAAGGCTTTCATTCTGTACAACTTGTTAGAAATACAGAGCAGCTACAAGGACAGGACAAGTGCCATTTCTGTGGCACCATATCCATACGGGACCAGGTATGGCATCGGGCAGCTCTGCCTGGCCACCCACCCTGACAGATCTGCAGGGTAGTGGGAGTAAATAAACCCACCTGATGCATCATTGTATTTAAAGGTCTGGTAAAGTCCCTCTCAGGACATTTATGTGGCTAGCTGAGACAACGTAACAATATTGATTTGCACCTCCTCCATAAAAGCGCAGCCTGATAATCAGCAAGCTGAGGGTGAAAAAGCATCACCAAAACTGACGGTGCCGTGCTGAGCTGCATCGTCTTGGTCCAGCACAGGCGTGAGTAGAAAGAAGGGAAACGGGACACTTGGCTGGAGCATCACTTATCGACCCTTCCTCAAAGTCACCTGGCAGCATGAATTTGCCTGAAGGTGGGCTCTGTAACAGGCAGTGGAATATAACAGCTGAAAACCAACTCCGGGGGAGGACAGAGCAGCACTGGAGGTGGCTGCGGATTTAGACACCTCAGCTCCGAAGGACCATGCAATTCCCTCCTCGCTAGGAGACAGATATCCACTGCCTTGAAAGTTTCAAAATGCATTTCTGTGAAGTGATAGGTTGCTAGAGAGCTGCTGTGGCCTGCGTAACCTGGAGTAAGCTCCAAAAGTAAACTCTACTGTCATCTGAAATTTCTATCATTAAGTTAATCAAAAACGTCCATTCATTTCTACAGGAATACAATACGAGTTAATAAATCTGCTGAGACAGGCTAGTCAAAAGACTGTGCATATAGGACATGTCAGAGAACTGAAGTTAGCTATGATCTAGATTCACAAAGGCTGACAAGAAACCACAAAATGCCAGAGCAGTGTACAGTAATCCTTAAATGAAATTCATCTTTCAGCAGAAAAACACATTAGGGATGGTAATTCAGTGATAAAAGAGGCAGGCCAGAACAGGTCCAAATGCTGAATATTTCACAACGTAACTTAATTAAAGCAGGAGTGCGAGACTGTTAATCGCTTTTTAACAGTTCAGCTTGAAATGAGGTTTGATGTGAATGCCCTTATAGTTTATTTGTTTATGCTATTATAATCACAAAATGTTACATCGACCTAATGCAAATATACAATTTTCACTGGTCTTTATTGTGGTGGTTTTTTCTCCTTTCGATCCTTCCGTCTTTGTGCAAGGGGAAGCACTGGGAGGAAGGGTCATAAATTTAGGTCAGATCAGATGATTCAGTAAGTCCCATGTGGGTTTAAATCTTATTAATAATTTTAATACATTCTTCCTTGACAACAATAATTTCAATCACTGCTCCTTTAACGCACAGCGTGACGTAAAAATACACAGACTTTTGAAGGAATGGAACATGCCTTTAATACAAAGAAGGTAAATTATGTCACCCTTTGGAAATTACAGTACATAACCTGGAACAAAAGACAAAAATACATTTGTGAGTAAAAATACAAATGTACTTTGTTGCATAACTATATCATGCCATACCAAGTGCATAGAAATACGTCATTGAAGTAGACTATTATAACATTTTAAATTCAAATATATTAATAAATGTATATTTATATACACAGAACCAACTAGTATTAATATTTCTAAGGTCAGGGTACAGAAAATGCCATGCTAGTGCTTAAAGGCACTACGAGGTTTTATATTGTTTGATAGCTTTTGCAAAGAAGAAAGGAAGAAAGGAATTCCTCAAATTTTCTGAGCTACAGTGGAAATGAGAGGAAGAGTGACTTTAAGTGTCTTAAAAACAGACATCGGTATAAAAATTCTTTTTAAAAAGTTGAGAAATATACTTATCCATGTGTGTCGAAGCACTTGATTGAGTAGCACTGATTCTTAACTGCTTGCAGTGTTATCAGCTATGTCATGTGAATCAATTCCAGCTTCATGCATTGCAAAATGTATTAAAAAAATCTTTGAAAGGATCATTCAAAGAAAACACATAAAATGAGCAATACGGACCAAATCAACCAGCTGAGAATGGGCAGAACTGCAAGCTGGTCATGACAAATAACTAGCAAAAGTTACAAGCTGTTAACTTTAGGCAAAAGGGGAAAAGTGTTGAAATTATAGAAAAAAAAGACATCAAAAGTCGAGGGTGCTCTATTTACTTCAAGTAACTTCCATAAACATGGTTAAGTGCATTTTCTGTGGTAAGAGTTGTAAATATGGGAATTGCTGTCCTGGAGGCAATCTTTGTTAAGTCAGTGTAGCTCTACAATTAAAAACACAAAAGCTGGCTAGTATTAACCTCTGAGGGAAGCTCAGCACCCCTTAACTATTGCAAACCCCATGTCTGACATTGTGTTGCTAAAAACCTTGCCAGTAACTCAGGGAAAAGAAGAATTCTCATGGACATGCCTAAAAACCCACTTGGTGGCACATCCAAGTCTGGGTGATGCTACCATTGAACCTCATGCAGAACTAGCTGTGACAGCAGGGAAGATTTTTGGAGTCGCTCTAGGAACAACAGGGTACTTTGCAAGAAGTGAAAATGAGCTCGGTTCAAATAAATTATGAAATAGGAGATACAGAAAGCAAAGGCAGGAACAAGAGAAGTTACTAGGACTGCCAAAAGTCATATCGCCATGAGAAAATCATGACCAGTTACACCAGCACATTTACTCCTTAAGTGTATAATATAAGCATATACATATATTTATACATACACAACATACTTTGGTGGGGTGATAGCATGTGCTCTCATGCCTGAGGCAATAATAAAGCCTGTAAATGTCCTGGGTTCACAAAGTCCTTTGGTTTGCTGTGGGCAGAGAACTTCCACCAGGCATGTGTGGTGTAACAGCCGTGCCCCGACCTACGGAGCCAGATTGGCGGCAAACACCTTCAAACTGGTGCGATACCCCCTCCTACAACTACTTGCAGTAACTCTGAAGACAGATGATAACTTGTTTCCAAATCGTCCTATTTGTGAACATAATGGACCAACATAATGGACCAGTAGTATCTGGGAATTGTTTATTTCAGTCAAATTATGAATGCCTGAAGCATTGTTGTTACAGTCTTCCCTGATTTATTTAATAAACTGACATGGACAGACTGAATGATGAAAATAACCATATACAGAGAATAACCTCTTTGTAAAATCACTGAGGAGAAATCCCAGAGTAGATTTATGACAAGCCGCTCAGCATTGTAACACTGGGAAACAATGGAGGAGCTTTTTGTTTCTGAATTGCGATAACATCATGTTTATGGATATGTCCAAATGAACAGCGACACGGATCTTTTCTAGGGGATGATTTCAATCTTTTAGATACTGCAAAGTGCAGTCACCTATTTCTTAGCCACCATGCATCCATTGCTAATGTAGTCTGCTACTTACCATCCCATCATCTCAGATCTAAATCTGACATGGTTTTAAG